GATCCGGGTCCGGAATGGTGAAAATGTGCGATTTCAATGCATTTTCGGCCTTAAAGCGGCCGCCATTTGGCTATCGTTAATGAGATCATGAAACAAATGCACATACATATTTGTGACATGATGTACCTTATGTGTGTGAAGTTTGAACTCGATCAATCCAAGCATGTCTCAGATACGGATCCAGAACTGAATTCTTTAAAACAAAATGGCCGCCAGTCGGCCATTTCGAACCCGATCCAAAAAAAAAAATGACGTGCATCAAGGTCCTATTATGTTTAATGTATGTACCAAATTTGAACAAAATCCGTCCATGCATAACTGAGATCCGGGTCCGGAATGGTGAAAATGTGCGATTTTGATGCATTTTCGGCCTTAAAATGGCCGCTATTCGGCTATCGTTAATCGGATCATGAAAAAAATGCATGTGCATATGTCCCATATAAGGTGTGATGTATGAGTGAAGTTTGAACTTAATCGGTCCATGCATGTTCGAGATACAGGTGATCACGGACGCACGGACGCACACAGGGCAAAACATAAGTCCCCGTTTTCGGACTGCGTCCGAACGGGGACTAATTAGAGAATTAATATGAACAAATTTTAACCCAAAATTAATCAGGCCTGTCTATTGTCCTAGAGCATTTATGTACCAAATTGTATTCAAATGTGATGATCAGTAATTGAGATATCAGTGTTAATTAATTATATTAATTAGTTGATTAATAAGCATAAATATTTACCAAAAACTAATTGGGTTTCTGCATAGTTCTCTTTAAAAGTTTCATTAAAATCTTAAGTACCAAGTGTCATTGAAATGTGATGATTACTACTTGAAATATCAAAAGCTGAAAATTAATTAATTATGCTAATTAGGTAATTAATATCTACTGATATTACCCTAAAAACTATGAGGTTTGTGCAGTGTCCTATGACATCTATGTACCAAGTTTTATTGAAATGTGATGATTAGTACTTGAGATATCAGTGGAAAAGCCGAAAATTGATTAATCATTATGCAAACTAGGTAATTAATATTGGAAATCTGTGCATTAGTTTGGCGCATCTGTATGCCAAGTTTCATCAAAATCCAATGAGTGGTTCTTTAGATATCAGTGGAACAGTCATGGAACAGCTAAAAATCAGCTAATTATCATGGAAATTAGGTAATTAATATGCATGGATTTTTACCAAAACCTAATCAAATCTGTGCATTGGCCCAGAGCATCTATGCACCAAGTTTCATCAAAAACTGATGTATGGTTCTTGAGATATCAGTGGAACAGGCGGGCGGACACACACACACACTAACTGCAAAGACTCCCTTTTTGTGCTTCGCACTTGGGAATCAAAAAATAGAAATTTCAGACAAGCAAACATAATACCAAATACTGTGTTTTCTCTACTATAAGATTAAGTGTATTTTTGATATCATATAAGGTTGAAAGAGAAAAGGGAGGTATAATAAGGGCAATATGCATGTATGTAAATGTGTTGAGATGGGCGTAGTGCGAGTGGTTAGTGCTAGTAGCACTAATCCGAAAAAGTACTAGATCTAGTGGTAAAAATGGCACTAGATCTAGTGCTAAAATGTGCACAGTGCGAGTGGCATTGTTATCGCATTGTCAACGACGTCGAATAATAGGAGGGGCAACAACAACCACTTCATATGCAAACTACAAACAGTATAAAACATCGGCAATATCTGTGAGATATCCATAATACTACTTTCTTTATA